AATTATGTTCCTTATCCTTTTTTTAAAGCTTAAAATGGAACTTACCATTTTCAAATATCTTAAAAAAATTCAAATTTCTGTTCTTTTTTCACTAATGACAATATGAACTTAATATGAACTGTTTGTAATTCGTGCAAAATAAAACTATTTGAGCAGGGTATGTAGTACCACTGTTTATTTGAAAGACGATATTTATTATTATCGTACTTGAGGGTATGTTTAACGTGCACATATTGGCGCTACGCTGTTTTAAATACTTTGTCTCGCTTACACTCTTAAACACAAATAAACTCACGACAAGCCAAGAAGGCTTAAAGCCTTTTATTGGTAAGTCAATAATTTTATATGAGATTATGTTTAATAAAAACCAAAGAGTGTATGTTGTAGATATGAACGGGTTTCAAAACGAAACTCGGTCCTAACTTCACTATTTTATTTTATTGCTAGCACAATCATTGAACATGCTTTGATAGTACGCAATTTTCTGAAACGGCTTTATTTTCTTAGCAAATATAACAGAACTGTATGACAAAAGCGGCTTTATTTCAATAGCATAAAGTTTACTTTAAGCAACACTTAACGTTGAAAGTGAAAAGTCGATCGGTGTTGGTGGTCGGGGAGCCCTGAGGCCTGTTCCCACGAGTATCGCGCACGTTGGAAAATTTATGGTTATGAACTGAGAAATCTGTCATAAGAGATACGAATGGCGTACCTGAATCTGAAATAGCGTGAATAATTTTTCATAAAGAGGATCACGCTTTCGAAGGCTTGATACTGCAAATTTCCCTAAGAAAAATATTATTTTATCAATTGTGCGAAACCGGGTTTATAAAACTATTTTATTAAATGAATACATTTTTACTTGTTACACATACTTGCCAGACACGCGTAGTTATGTAACAACATACATTTCAGATTTATTTCTTATTGAAGTTGAATTTTAAACCATATCACTAGTTCTGATATTTTCGCAATAAATCGACGAGAGTATTGCGATATTTGCACTTACATTTGGACATGTCCAGACGTTTGCAGAAATGTTTTCGTTTAATTTTTTTATTTTTTATTTCTTCGATAAACAGTAAGAAATTTTATATTACTTTTCTATTTTTAAACATCTGTTTTCTTATTGTCTTTATGTTTGTTAGTAAATGTTATTATACTAAAATTTGAAATCCACAAATTAAATACGTACAACAGTAGGACTAGACAATATTTTACATTCGATACCAGATAGGTAGGTACTTGCCGGAGCGACTGGCTGGAACTTGGGGTCGGGGCAGAATGAAATGGCGTCGTGTACCATATTGTTATCATTTAAAAATATAGCATAATTCACTGCGTAATAAATTAGCAAAATTATCATAATAAATAAGTTTTATTTTCTGGTAAATTATGAAAAGTGGACTTTAGAGTTCGTGTAATCCCAATGTTTTCTCATCCAAATTTATCCGACATAAAGGAAAGTGGAGGTAGATGTAGATACAAACTCAAAAGGACAAATGTTTAGTCTCTTCTTTTTAACCACGAATATGATTAATGCGTGACGTGACGGTATTGTGGTACATATGTCTAACACGAGGACCTGCATAGTACATAAGGACCGCTACCGTTTCTGTTAAAGCATATCAAAGTCAATTGCCTCCCATATAGATCATCTCAAAGGCAGGATAATTTCCATAGTTGCCACGCTTGGCAGGTGGGTTGGCAAACACTGTTATTTATTTATAGGAGAGCACTGGTGCTTAGCTTCTGTTTTTTCTTCTGTCACCTCTTACGACGCCCACGGACATTATAGGGTAGTGAATATTCTTCAACCGTCACATAAGGTAAGCATATGACATATGGACAGTTTTTTATTAATATGTTTCTTTTTCGTCTACTTATAATATCGTCTCTTACTAATAATGTCTGCCGTAAAAGGTATTAACGCTCAAACATCTGTCACCTATGGTGTTGCTACCCGTTGTCAGTTTAGATATTTACCTAATACCTGGTACACGAATGGTATACTGTCATCAATCGGAATAAATGATATCTTTCTGGCTTCTACTGTGGTAAGTTTCTAATGAAAAGAAAAGGTGACCATGGTCACCTTTCCTTTTCATTAGAAACGGTTTGATGGATTTTACGTCGCTACACTATGCTGTAAAACAATATAATATCCGAATTTCGGTCACGGTGGCCCGCCACAACGTAGACTAGCCATCGGCGCAGGACAGGATTAAAGTGCCCAAGTGTAAGTGCAAGCACAGGTGCACTCTCTATTCCCTCACTCTCATAATCCGATGGGACGGTAAACCGACACGACCGGAGAGAGATCAGGCGCAGTACCAAAGGTTTTACATGCTTTTCGTGGCACGGGGTTGAGATAACGCCAACTTCCTGACCCTGGGCACCGGGAAGCTACTGAGAATTTCTTGACGGAAAAACTCAATAGATGAATTTTTGGTCCGACCCGGGATTTGAACCCAGGGCCTGATGGTCAGCAGTCACACTACTACAACCACCATAACAACGAGGCAGTTGTAAAATTTTTAAATTAAAAAATAAAACATTCGGAGTTAAGTATAAAAATAAATGTCCAGTGTTCTTTAAACCACATTGCCCTAATGTCGCATAGTAACTATTTTCCGTAATCGCCACAATTACCTCGTGGATTGAATAACAGAATTAGACTTTCGTACCTCTGGCTCTGGATCTTGCTGCTATATGAATGAAGAAAAGAATGAACGCAGTAACGTTTATTCTTTTGTTCCTTCCACAGCTGTCAACAGCTGAATAATTGACTCCCCCATGTAGTGAAAGAGCAAGACAATCTAATACTCCGTATCATATCATGGGTGCCGTAAGAGGTGTTAGAGGTAAATGAAACAGGAGATGATTAGCAGCATCTTCTTGGTAACATTAAAAAATAATAAAAAATTGCGGTTCCCAACACGTTAGCCAAAAAGCTATGGCAAAAACCGCCCCTGTGAGGCATTCTTTTTTATAGACAAACGAGCACACAGTCCGCCTGATGCTAAGTGGATGTTGTGGCCCAAATACATTTATCCTCGGTTAAGAATAAAAGCGTTGTCATCGCTGAGAACTACGATGGAATGCCTCGTTTCTAGTTATAAAGTGTCTCCGTATCTATACCATACGAAACACGGCAGTATTAAGCTGCTATTTTACGTTGGTGTTCTGTGACAGCGTGGTACCTCCCCGGTTGAGCCGACCCTTTCGCGCTACAACCATTATATATCTACAGCGTGGCTCTACCGCGTATAACAATGAAAAATTCTATGAGGATGGCTATGATATCTAAGTATATACTAAATATACTTACATTCATTATAATTTTGCCAGCCCATTGAAAAGTCACTTGCTGTGATGCTAAGTCTATCCATAGGTTTTATTAATTTCAGTTATCATCAGGATGATGCTGCTCGTCATCTTCTATTTTAGTTTTCCTCTGTCGCCTCTTGAGACATCTACTAGAATACTATCTAGTAGATGTCTATACTTGGAGTAGTGGATATTTTACACCGCCACTACACGACGTCACTGTCACTGTCAATGTCACTGTCAAAAACGTACAGAATATAAATGCATATTGTTAACACAGTTTGAGAATTTTTCTTTTAAATAAATATTTATTATTGTATCGCACAATAAATTAAGCGCGGACGCTAAAATAGTTTATATTTCGGATAAATTACAACACTTACTGTACGTCTAAACAATTTGCAATTTAAATTTTTAACTCGTATCCCACGGGAACCAGTATCGAATGTAAAAAGTTACAGATAACATGGTCAGATCATAAGCCTCTTTCCAATGAAAGGGCTTTCTTTATTCATACGCGGTAGGAAGCTCGACAGCGTATAGAAATTCTAAACACTTAAATAAACATTTATTTTGAAATAACTAAAAAGTCTGCCGTGGAATATAACTTGTTATATTTTTTACTTCCATACAGCCATTCATCCTATAAAAGTCCTCTGCTGAACATAGGCCTCCCTATAGATGGCATCACAGGGAGATTTTGCCATAGTTGCCACGCTTGGCAGATGAGTTACAAACCACAGTTATTTCTTTTTTGAGTTTTTGTCAAGAAGATCCTGTTCAAGTTCTGCTTCAGTTTCCCTATGTTACCTATTAGGATATCTCTAGGACGATATGGAGTGGTAGATATTCTTGCACCACCACTATAAGGTTTAGTGGTAGTGCAAAAATCATTGACAACAATTTTTTATAGGATTACATCTACTTCTTCTTCTTCTTCATCAGCCCATAAAAGTTCACAGCTGGAGATGGGATTCACCCCTTGTAGGAAGCATTTTCCATGTGCATTAATTCTTATTCTGGCTCTGCCTCAGTGTTCTAGTAGGTTCGGATCCTGGGTCGGGCAAAAATTAAATCAGTTATTGAGTTTTCCGTCAAGGAATTCTCAGTAGCTGGCTGGAGTCATTAATTCGGCGGTATCTGACCCCCGTGCCTCCGAAAGCATGTAAAGCCATTGGTGATGCGGCTGATCTCTCATCGGTTATGTCGGTTTACAGTCCCATCGGACTATGAGGATTAGGGGATAGAAAATGCAACTGTGCGCATAAAGTTGATAATTCCGTCCTGTGCAGGTGGCTAGTCTCCATCGGCGCAGGCCACCGCGGCAGAAATTCAATTCATTTTACGCTGTGGGAAGAGGACAAACTTTAGCTGCATTTAATATTTGCGATTTTTTTAATTGGGTTATGTTGTAATCACCAGACATAGTAGGCGCAACAGGGGTCTAATTACTATTCTGAGAGCTTGTATAAAATACAATTATAACGTATAAGTGGTTTATTCGGATCAGTTGATCCAATAGCCACACACAGGAGGTCGTGTACTAAGATTACAAAATACCTTCCTAAGATTCGTTATAAGAAACAAAATCCTATAACTTTTTAATTTTAATAAAAGAAATAAATTTAGTTTCTCTTTAAAATTTAATACATATATTTTGTTTTTTTTAGAATTTCAGGTACAAGCAAGTTCTTCAGGCAACCATTTCAGAAGAGATTTAAAACATATCGTTAACTATTCGCCAGCACAATGGTCTATGAACGTCGTCAGAGACAAGAGCAGTTTGGATCCAGAACTTGTTCATTCTGAACCAGGATTCGATCTGACTGAAGAAGAAATGATCAAGTTCAAAATCTGGGCGAAAGGAATCATTCCATACTACATTGACGACTTCTCTTTTGGTAATACTAATGGCTAAAAGTAAAGAAAGTAAAGTCATACGCTTCGCTGTTCCTCTGGTTACTACTGAACTTGTTATAGAACAAAAATTTTCAGCCGCGGTGCAGAAGCGCAAATTGCTCCACGTAATGTGTTCTAACAATGTTTTTCGTTTCTAAGACTTGTAGATTTATTGTTTGTGACAAATCAGCAGTTATATTTCGAATAATAATTTTCGTCTTACAATCTATAATAATCGTTTCAGCTGCTTGTTTCTGGTTTTTAGGTACGAACTCTAGCAAATAACAATTTCTTCATTTGTTCACATTACTATTTATGTATACGAGTCGGTGTTTGGAAAGTTTGGCGATAAAAGGGTTAATGATACTGGCAAGCTTATACTGGCTGTATGCAAGGAAAAGGGTCTTCTTGTGACAAACACTATGTTTAATCACAGGAAAATCCATATGTACACTAGAGAAAGAAAGAATGAGAGAAGTATGATTGATTTGTTCCTGGTGGATGACCGACTGCGAAAACAGGTGATGGATACACGAGTGTTCAGGGTTGCTGACCTGGGAACGGATCATTATCTAGTAATTACTAGATTTAGGGGTTTGTTCGCGGGTTGGCGCTACCGGACGGCAGTAACAGAACCACAGTCGGTCTGTCGCATCCGAAGCTGGAAGCTTCAGGAAGCGGATACTAGGGACAAATATCACACGAGGGTAGCCGAAAAGCTCGACACCATCGATGGCAGGAAAGAATGTGTGGAGAGAACATGGCAGAACCTTAGGGATGGAATGGTAAGTGCAACGGAAGAAGTATGTGGTACGACAAAAAGACGTAGTAGTAAAAGAAGAGATGCATGGTGGAATGATGAAGTGAGAGAAGCTGTAAAAAAGAAGAAAAAAGCATGGTTAGACTACTTGGCCTCTAGTAACGATAAGCATATGAGAGAGAAGATGAAAGAAAGATATAAGCTGCAGAAAGTTCATGCAAAAACATTGATTGAGGAAGTACGTGAAAGGTGTAGAATAGAAGCGGACGAGAGGTTGTCGCACAACTTTAGGGAAAACTCCAAACTCTTCTGGAAAGAGGTTGGAAGGTCCCGGAGTGGTGCGACAGCCTTAAGAATGAACAAAGTGCTTTCGAGAACCAATGACGTCCTCTCAGAAAAATGGGACGTCATGCAGCGATGGAGTGAATTTTATAGAGAAATGTATGCGTGTCATGATCTTTGTGAAGGATCCGGGGTTGACGCCGTGACTGGCACGCCAGACATGGACCTCGATGACACTGAGGTCATCAGCATGAAAGAGATTGAACGTGCGATTCGAAGTTTGAAATGTGGTAAGGCTGCGGGACTAGACAGAGTTACTGCTGAAATGGTCAAGTACGGTGGGCCTCGCGTCTGGGACAGCTTCCATCTGCTGTGCAATTTGTGCTGGCGGACGGGAGATGTCCCGGATGATTGGCGATCCGCGGTCATTGTGCCTTTATATAAAGGTAAAGGTTCACATTTTGACTGCGGGTGCAATCGGGCGATCAGCTTGACCAGTTTAGCAAGTAAAGTTTACTCGAAGGTTTTGACACGTAGGATGCAAGAGAAATCGGAAAGATTCTTATGGGAGGCACAATGCGGATTTAGACCTGAAAGAGGATGCACGGATCAAATGTTTTCTCTCCGCATGATCACGGAGAAGCTTCTGAGTGTTAACCAGAGGATTTTCTGTGCTTTTGTGGATCTGGAGAAAGCATTTGATAAGGTTATAAGGAAGAAAATGTTGCCGGGATATGGTGTGGATGGTCGATTGTTAAGGGCTGTGTAGTCACTTTACTATGACTGTAAAGCCTGTGTGCGGGTAGGGCATAACCTGTCACCCATGTTTAGAGTCCAAGCGGGCGTAAAACAGGGTTGCGTCATGTCTTCCTGGCTGTTCATACTGTATCTCGACAGCTGTATACAGAAGCTGAAAAATAGCTGTTTGGGTGTGAAATTGGGTGACATAAAAGTTAATTGTCTGCTGTATGCTGATGATGCAGTGCTTATTGCACCATCAGAAGCAGAACTGCAGGCATTAGTCACGTGTATGAAAGAGGAATGTGAAATTAAAGGTCACCGTTTGAATGCTAATAAAACTAAGGTTCTGGTATTTGAAAAGGACGAAGAGAGAACGAAATGTGAAATATGGGTAAATCAGGAATGTCTAGAACAGGTAAATGAAATTGTATACTTGGGGAGTGCTTTCAGCCGGGATGGAAGACGGATTTAGATGTGGATAGGCGTGTCGCTGCCGGAAACAAAGTCAATGGTGCCCTGAATGCATTAGTAAAAAGGCAAGGCGTGGTGAAGAGTGCACGCCTTGCAATACATAACGCACTGTTGGTACCGACTTTGTTATATGGCAGAGAAACCTGGGTATGCCAGAAGAAGCATAAAAGCAAGTTGAATGCAGTGGAGATGCGATCTCTTCGTAAAATGTGTGGCGTTACCATAGCCGACCGAAAGCGAAACGAAGAGATTCGCAATATGGCAGGATTGAAAGATGACCTTATCACAAAAATTGATAGGGGCGTACTCCAATGGTTTGGGCACGTTGAACGAATGAGTGAAGACCGAATGGTGAAGAAAATATATAGAGCGAAAGTAAATATTAAAAGGTGTCGAGGAAGACCGAGACTAACTTTCGAAGACCATGTGAGCAAATTGCTCGAAGAGGGGAGGGTCAAGAGTACTCGGATACCTAGACGTGCATGTATGAAGAAGTTAATGAACCTGAAAGAAGCGAAAGAGGTATGTAAGGATCGTGACACTTGGCGATCTGTTCTCTCTGGCTACCCCGTTAGGGATTGTGCGTGAAGATAAGTAAGTAAGTAAGTAAGTACTATTTATGTAATACTGCATCCGCCAATACGGTTTTCGTCGTGATTGCTCAGCTCGTGATCTTACCTAACTCATAAACAGACGGGAACAGTAGAGTCCAAGTGTGCGGTCTTGGCTTTTGGGTTTGACACAAAGCGATTCTTTTGAAGCTTTGTTATGGATTTTTCGAGAAATAATGCTATTTGATCACCAGGATCGTGCAGATGATGATGATCTTAATGATCATGAAGTGGACGGTGCATGCTTCAACAACAAGCCCATTAACTCTGGTGTTCCATAAGCCCGCGTGCTATCGCCAATGCCTGTTTCTTCTGCATGTCAATGGCTGTAAGCCAGTAACATTTATTGTTTTGCGGGTGACAGCACTGATGATGCTTCTTACATCTGCTTTGCCTATATTTTTAGGAACACGTCAAAGAGTACCGAAACAAACTTGTGTCTGAAGTCGAATCTTTGTTTAAAAGTTTCAAATTGGGGACGACTAAATCTGGTTCACTCCGCTACGTAGAACCCCTTTATCAAGTATCGTCAATTTCAGGGATATCTAGTGATGTTCAGTTCCGCGTTTACTTGAAAGGGAAAGTTACTCATGACATTATTTCATACTAACATACCACTTGCAACTTTACATATTCGGCCTCACATGGAATACTGTTCTCATCTCAGTCAGTTCGCACTTCAGTACCAGTTTCTTTAACTTGACCGTATTCGGCGAAGAGCAGCTCGAATCGCTGGTGACCATATTCTTTCTAATCGACTCATTTTACTGGTGTTGCGAAGATATGTTGCATTCCTTTACAAAAGAAATAGTAATCCAAACAATTTCAGCCACCGAATTCCACCATTACTCATTCTGACAGAATACGCGACGCCATCAATACCATCTGTCCAGATGGTATGGGTGGCTTGGCCAGAATATTCCTTTCTCACTTTCATCTACTTTCTTTGTGCTTTCGTCTACTTCTTTTTAAAATGACGATAACGTACCTGCAATTCCATTGATTTCGCTGTTGTTAATAGGCGGCAATAGTCATTTAATATCAAGTGAACAGAATGCTCGTTTCCCCCTCCTATATTATCGGCCTTTCTTCATGGTCATTACTTATGTTTTCGCAAACACTTCACATTGAATGAAACTAGTTTTTACAATTTTTATTGCGTTTTAATATTTTATTATATTCCAGGTGGTTCGAGTACTTAACAGCACCCATAGTTATGGTCAAAATTTAATCTCATCTTAAGCATACCTCAGCAAGACTTCAGGATAAGATCTTTCTGCGTAGATAGGACCAAAAACTAATTATATTAAACAAAGGTAGCCGTAGTTAACCATAACATTGGGACATTGAACACCTCACTCCATTAACCGTCTCCGTGACCATGGGTGCGTTAAAGTACTCGAAACGTTACGAATATAAAAACTAATAAATTGCGATAAAATTCGTAAAAACTAGTTTCATTCATTTCCTTCATGGTAATTTTCTTAAGAATGCATTAATTGTGATACTTGCTCTTCCAGACTGAGCAGGCGGGTTGGTAAGTATAGCGCCGATTTCGTCAAATGCTCCCAGTCTGGGACTTGAGTTAAATATTTTTGAATGAATATACCGCCCATTGCCGGTCATTAAAGCTTCGTTTGCTAGATATTAGAGTGCAGATGAGTTAGGATTAAATTTGAAGATTTTGTTCAATACCCTTCACATCCCAAAAAGTAAAAATGCATATTTTGTTTAATAGATAAAGTACTACGCAATAGAATTCGCAATTACCTTGATCTCACAAACCGCGTCACTGGTCTAAGATTTATTGAACTACCAAAACCACCCACTGACGAGAAAACTAGATGGGTGCTTTTCTTAAATCGACAAGGCCTGCTTAATTGCGCAGATCATTCTACTAAGGATTTTACAAACGAAGGTGTACAGGTGAGTTATTATCTTATGCGAAGTTACAGTAACTTAATAAATGATGCTTACCTGACTGCTTTGTAAGTCTAGTGCAACTGCTGATCATGAGAACCGAGGTTCGAATCCCGGGTTCACCTAAAATTATTTTTTGGGCTTTTCAGTCAAGAAATTTTCAGTAGCAGCTCGGAGTCATCAAGTTCGCGGTGCTTCTACCACGTTCCTTAGAAAACATGTAAAGCAGTTCATTCTGCGCCTGATTTTTCTCCGTCTCTCACGTCACGTTGCCATCCCATCGGACATGAGAGTGAGAGAATAGAGAGAGCACCTGTGTTTTTGCACAGAATGCACTCTAACCCTATCCTGTGCAGATGTATTGTCCTCATTGAGATTGGCTGCAGTGACAGAAGTTCGGTCTGGAGAGCATTATAATGTTTACATAGTCGACTTTTGGTTTGAAAAATATTGAATGATAGGCACAAAAGCTATTAGAAATTAGGTTTTCACCTGAGAACGCAGCAGACCGACTGCACCGTGTATATTGTATTATATTTTATGCATTCGAACCGAACATGTGAACTGTGACATATTACGTGACCGAGTAATTCATATAGCAACCATTTGAATTACTCGGTCACGCAATAGTGATCGGTATCCAATTTTCTTATAACGCAAGTTATTTAAGGTTCCGATATGTCTTATCTACACAAGAATAATATGTGTATTATTTGTCATTTTGAATGTAGAAAGTGCTTTTGGGCTATGACTGCTTAGTCACCGGTGGAGAACTCGCCCAAGCAATTTTGGCCCTAGTTGGAGTACCGCCTCAACATAATTCTCCTGATCGTGATGAGTATATCACGATAAAAGACGATCATATAATCCCAGGTAAATTTGCCATAAAGCATGTAAGAAAAAAAAAAAAAAAAAAAAAAAAAAACACCTGTTGATCACCTCGTGAGCCAGGTCCATTTCCTATTTAATTTGCTTATTTGTTTCGGCTTTCACGAGCTTGTCGTCATACGGAATAATTAATAATAATAATTATTGTTATTATCATCGATATACTCGGCAATCGGTATCGAAATCCTTTCTAAAGAATTCTTTTACGTGGTCTACTGGCATTGGCTATGTCCGATTTCTTACACAAAAGTTGCCATTACAAAATAAAAGTTTTTGATAAAATATTAGATTATTATGACACATTTACAAATAAATTTTAGCACGTCAATTTTATCTGAAATCATGAAAATCTTGAAAAAAATGACATGCTACGAGATGGAAAAAAAATTAATAAATTATTCATTCGATTTGTTTGATTTTTTGTACGTAATCTGTGGTGACAGTGATAATCGAATGATAGTTGAGCTGTAAATATATATTAATATCAATAATGAAAATCTATGATAGCTTCTATATTTTACAATAAAATTGTAGTCGAATAATGTGGAAATTCATACTATCGTTGTACAATTTAAAATATATCGTGAAAATATTACTATGAAATCTAGTTAATTTAAGCCGGTATATTTCTGCCAAATTGATGACTGACTTATTATGGCTTTCACAGGGAATAATATCTGTGTTTGTTTAATCAACAATGGGTTTGCTTCACGGAACGTACCTATATAGAGAGCACTGCTACAATAGTACAATTATGGAATGTAAGGAATACAGACTCTGAATAAAAAAGTGTCTATAGGAAAGCGCTAAATAAGGGTGGCGCCACTGTAGCTACAGTCTAAATTTTAAAGAACTTTTTAAATTTTTTATTGCTCAGACTTTCACCATAATTCTTTTCACAATAATTATTTTATTGCTTTCAAAATTTTTATTTTCAAAATCACTCTCAATGTATTTTATTACGGATGGACACATCATTTTCAACTATTCTCATAAGGGAGATTGTCCTCCTTACCTCTACACTCCATGAGTACAATAACAGCGGCACAACCGCGGTCGGCCTTCTCTTTTATCGCTAGATCACATCGACCAATAAATCGATTACGGACGTATTACTCGTTTTCCTCTCTGCTCAAGATATTATCCTACCGCCGTCCATGGCTGAACGTCGGGGGGGTATTTGCTAAAGTTCCCTCTCTTAGCAAGTGGGTTGGTTGTTATTAGGAAGATATGTTTGCATATCTCCTGTTTCGTGTCTCTCTGTAGTCTTTTACGATATTCACGGGATAGTATGGGGACTAAGAGCTTCTAAGTAATAATATATGTATATCATTTGGTAGGAGTAGTGGATTCATTTATGCCACCACTACAAGGCATTATCAAGATCCTGCCTTAACTTCATGATTTCGGAAGGTTTTCATCCAATCAGCTAAAGCTAAGATGAATTTAGTCAATGGTTTCATTTTTCGCTAAGCAAATGGTAAATCTATATAAATAAAAATCACGTGCATGTATGAGAGATCATCACACAGACTCACACTCACAATTGGCCCCGGTAAGTGAAGTTGTTGTTGAGATCTAGAAAACAGTCGTGCGAAGCCGGGGCGGATCGTTAGTCAGCATATACTCGTAAAATTGGGATTACAAATGAGATCCAACTTGCAAATGCTCCATGTATCTGTTAAGGCGTTTCCCCTAGCAAACGACCTTGAGCGTTGAGTCCTATACAACCCACGCGCTCTCACTACAATATATCGCGTAAAAATACGCCCGAATTTTTGGAATTATTACAATTAACAGAAAAGTGGCCTTAAGAAATTAAATAAAACGTGAGTTATATAGATTTTTAAATTATCTATCCATTAGTGTAATCCTCAAATGATAAGAGCGTTGCCTTTAACAACAGATGAATGTAATCAATAATTTTAGTCATTTTTAAAAGTAGATTTTAAATGTATTTATAATACATAAAAACCAGTTAGAACATGGAACGCGATGATAGATAGAGGATATCGAACATTAATAATTTTCTTTTAGATGTAGCTTATTTCTCATAACTAATGAGATAATAGTCTCTGAAAAACGCACTTTTGCAAGGTTTTGGTCGGGGAACCGCCTTAAGACTTAGTATACTTACCTCCCTAACTATTAGTTTTTAAAGTTAGCGAAACTAATATTTGCATGTTTATAATAACCATCATCACTTGATTTAGAAGACAATTTATTTGATCGTTCTAACAATAAGTCTAGTCCTATTTTCTTTATATTTTAGGCATATTATAAAGTAAAAAAATAAAAATAACTAAATAAAAACGAGTATATCGATGTCGTTTGTTTCTAACATTGAGAAAAAAACTCCATCGATTAAATGTAAAGACGTCACATATTGTAAAGTAACGTTACGTAAAAACATTACACTAATATAATAGGGATGTCATTTTTTAGTACCTAAATCAGAAGGTATGAGTGTACTTACTCTTATATTTGGCGTAGTGCAAAGAGACCAAAGATGACCACTTGGCATTTCTACTTACCTACACGATGAATTACAACTTCTCTTTTTGCCTTATTTGAAAATTAAATTAGAATTAGAAAAAGCGGGACAATTATATTGACTCAGTTTATGTAGAATTGTAAGTTCTCTCGATGTATACGTATGTATGTAATTACTCTAAGATATTTTTGAATTAATACCAGTAATCATGGTACAAATTTTCATCGCTAATATCAGATTCACATTAGATCATATTAGTGTATCGTATCTCCTTCGCGTTGCGCAGACATGTATCCTAATTGCTAGTTCTGACGAAAATATTACGCGATCCTGTGATACATCCCGTTCCGCACAAAACCTCATATCTGGTACACCTTGTATCAGATAAACGTACTTGTGTTATACCAATACCTAACCTAATATCATATCAGTGATACAATATAAATGGTAGGTATGGACGCGTTTTTTGACACGATACTGCTAGTGATATTTTTTATGTCAGTGAAATGACAAATGAAGTTACAATCAACATGATGGTAAATGGCTACTGAAGTCCATGGCCATCTGCAGCACTTCAAATAAAATTAATACCATTGAAAGAAAAAAATGTGTTTTTTGGAAATATTTTATATAATGTATTCTGTATTTTATATAAACCCATCCCTATGTTGTTGTAATTCCAAACGATATGTCTGCTAAAATAGTGCCGATAATATTCGTCAGTTCGGACCTGTTCTATCGCAACACCCCACTCCCTCCTCAGCAACTGTCATACCACTTCCACCTAGTTCATCCCAGTAGCAGCGTAAGTGGTCCGAGTTTTTAACCGATTTCAAATAAAGCAGGAGGATCTTAATTCGAGCATTTGTTTTCTTTTGTATGTATGTTACTTGATATTAATTAAAATGGTTTTAAAATTTATTTTAAAGGCACATATAAATGTATTTATATTATGAATATGTGTTAATATATATGAATGTACGAATATATATACATGCATTTACTTACAATATTAAATCATAACCTGTTTTGTTACATATAATGTATATATAATTTTAGTTTCTCTTTTTTTTCTTTTAATTGCTACACCTACGACAAATTCTCACCACTCCATGGGTTGACTGGTAGAAAATGCCTTTAGACATTAAGTCCGCCATTTGTATCTTTTTTGTATTTTTTTCGAAGGGGACACAATAAAGATTTTAAAATAAATAAAATAAAAATATAAGTCACTAAGGTTACAGTATATATAGTCACCCTCCTGATTACAGGGATCCTCTCATTTCCAAGAAGGTTTATGCCTTGCCTCAATACATATTGGCTGGTTTCACACTAATTTAGTTTTTTCATAGATGCTGGTTTCCTTGAGATGACTTTTCCTACGAACATGCGGTAAATTTCTGATTTACGCGTAAAGTTGCAATTAACGATTTCATTATCGCCAGGGGGGTTCGAACCCAGGTTGCTCGCCTGCTGTGAAAAGTAGGGCGAATGCTTAACTCCTGAACTACCACGTATTATATACACAAATACTTACGTCACCTACTATAATGTGTATTAATATTTCTACATTCGCTTTTTATACATTTTGCCGATAAATATTATATTTGTATTAGATTATCTTAAATTGATTACAGAGAAGAAGCATTTGTTTGTTGCGCTGAAGAATAACGAGTGGTTATTTCACGATATTCCCTATGATTTTGTGAGTGCTAGTCATTATAATTTTCACAAGTATTCAAAGAATGGGTTTGCTACTATAGAAATAAAGGTAGGATAAGCATCTAAATATATTACAAAATTATTATTTAAGTTATATTTCTTCTTTATCAGTTCGTAACAATCCATTTCTGGTCTGAATATCTTCTATTTTATGGAGTATGTACCATAACTGACACGGTTCTTGCACCTTTAGCACTAATCCGTCATCAGTTTGGATATTTTACATCTGGTGTAAAGAAGATGAAGAAACTGCCATCTATAGGAGGCTATGAAATATTTCTAGCATTTTCCATAGCCGGCTCTTACGACATCAATGGAATGATATCACTATTTCTTTTATTTATTATCTTAAGTCGACGCCACACGAGAAGTAAATATTACTATTGTTAAACACGTTATGACGCTTTCAGAAACCAACAAACGTTCTTGTTGGAGAAGGTAAGGGGTTTAGTTACAAAGATATTTGGAAAATAACAATGCTTTATAATTATATTGTCAAGAAAAAGGCTAATTCTATAAAAGCTTCCGATTGTTTAAAGCTTTTTGAGCCTGGTGCTAATTTTAGTAATTACGAACCGCTCATAGATGATGAAATCCAACCAAGAAGTAAGCCTAATAAATATTTAGGAATACAAGGAAAGTTACCAAAGTTACCCAGGCTACCTGAAAATATAAATAGAGATGAAGAGCAAGAAGTTGAGGAAGATAGCGAAAACGAAGAGAAAGAAGATAAAAATGCTAAAGAAGAAATTAATAAAAATTTAAACGAAAGTAATTCGGACAAAACAGAAGAATATACCAGTGAAAACCGAGACCATTTTGTATCTGGTAAAACGGAACGAATCGAAATTTTAAATAATGTTAATAAATTAAAAGCTCCGTTTGTTAATAATCCTTCTCACTTTAAATCTTGGAAGACAACAAAAAATTTGAATAAAATATTTAAAAAAATGATAAATGGATAAACAAAGGAAAATAAAGGAATGAAAATAAATAACTTATTTATTACTTTTTTTTTGCAATAACCATTTAATAATCTATCACATTATAGGCATGTTTGTACGTCTCGCTTTATGTAACATGTTTCACAAATAACTTCGCAGCACCATTTAAATTGACAGTTACAATTTTCTGATTCAGTTATCGTATTTTGTACATATCCTCGTCTGCAGCAGAGTTGATCACAACTATCTGTTCCCGCAGAACTTATGTTGCATTGACGTCCTTCTGTACCAAGAGAACCAGTCTTCATATTAGGAGTACAAAAATCCGGGGATTCTTCTGAGTAAATTATGTCCTTTTTGCCAGGATTTTTTAGATTTGGACTCTCTGGCATAAATCCTTCACCGTTGTTGTTCGAAATTACCTAGTAGAATAAAATTTACTATTTAGTCTCTAATACATCATAACTTAATAATTGGATTACATCATAACTAGCCTATGAATAGCCCCTTTTTTAAATGACATCTTTTTGATATATGACCATAGTTGTTTTTTTTACTGACCGACGGATTGGTAGTTTTGCATTAAATTATATTCTATAGACGCCATTCCCCATATACTGGATGATAACGAGAATTTGATAATTTGTCAAATGACATCTAAATTTTCCTCTATTTCCTTGAAACGACTTTTACGATTGTGTTAAAATCAGAATGCGTAATAATAATTGTAAGATTAGAGAAGCTCGTAATTAGTATCTAACGTTTAATAAGTTGGTACGTGAACACTTGGTCGTTCAGTCATATCTGTTATTTGCTTATGTATTATCTCTTTGGATGTTAAAGGTATAAATACATATATTTTTCTTAATGAAATGTGCGTGAGTAATGAGCATACAGTTCACTTGATAGCAAATGGATGCTGTGGCCCATAGACATCTAAATCGATTCTCGATTAATTATCAGAATGTAAATGCATTGCCACCCCTGAGGACTGAGATAGAATGCCTCGTTTCCAGTAGAAAGTTTCTCCGGTTCCTCAAAACGGAATACAGTAGCATTGAGGTGCTATTTTACGCTGGTATTCTGTTAGAACGTGGTCCTTCCCCGTTAGAGCCATATCATGCTACAACCATATTATAGCTGCAGCATAAGCGGTGATACAGGACTCAGGAACGTGCTCTGCGGCATGCTACGGGAAAGGTCTGTGTTTAGCAGCGGACTTGTGAGTAACGAATGAAAAAGTACGATCTTTCTTAATGCCGAGACGAGAAGAGTTCACTGGTCTGCTTAATGGGAGACTTCACTTATCCGAGTAACTTGTTTTTCTCTTTATTCAAGACTACAAACAATTACACCAACAGCTTACTTTATAAACTAAGCCGGTATTCGTTTATTGTTTATCGTATGATGAGTGTAAGGAACCGGAGACCCTTTTTACTGAAAACAAGGCATTCCATCTTAGTCTTTACGGGTGACAACTGCATTTTGATTCGTAATCGAGGATAGATGTAGATGTCTACGGGCCACAGCAACCACTAATCATCAGGTGGACTGTGTGCTCGTTTGTCATATCCTATAAAAAAAGCTTCTTAGACATGCAGTTTTTTTTCATGGGCTGTTTCTTCTTCACAGACCACTTGGTGAAGCATCTTTTAAACTTGCGATTAATTCATAATTCATAATTATTTATTTGCATAGAATGTAGGTAGATATTACAATAGTATTATTAAAACATGAAAGTTCCTATACATTCTGCCTTGTCGAGGCGTGCAAATTTTGACTAATTAGATATAACAATTTTTTTGATGAATTTAACTTATTTACAAATATCAAAATGTTCATATGTAAAAACAGTAAAATTAACTAACTAATAATTATTCTATAACTATCAAAATCCTTTATAATTTCACAGCAAAAAATTCAAGCATTTTTGGATACAGATTTTTAAATATGTAATTTGTTTTGATTTTTGTGATCAAGATACTCATTAACAGTATAGAAACAATTAAGTAAAAGCCATTCATGATGTTGGTTTTTTAACTTTGTCATTGGGAAATTTTTAAACTCGTCGGGTAAAGAGTTAAAGATTTTAATCACCATTATATACGAATTTTTTTGGAAGAGCATCAATTGCCATTAATAGTTTGTAGTTATAGTGAAAATCAAATTCAAATTGCTCACGTACCATGCCATGATAATTTGAGATAAGCGCTTGACCTCCTCTGGGGGTAATAAAGTCACACACAATGATATATATATATATAATTATACCTTCCTACCTACCTTCGAAGCACCTTCAAATCTATCGCGCAGTCGATTACCAACTTCTCTAAAAGCTGGCATCCTCCACCAGCAAGTACGAAGAGTACATGAACCTGATAGTCCATGGCATTTACATTCAACTCTCATGTTGTTTTTGATTGCCTGAAATTAATAAAACATTTTTATGATGATAAAATTAACCATTTTATCACCCGTTATTTACTCGCTGTATATGAATTTTATCTACTACCTGACATTTCTACATTAAGTTATTTTTAACATAAGATATTATTAAAATAGTTACTAACCAACCTCCCAGCGTTGTGGTTGTGAAGTTTGATCAAAGTCTTTATATTATCACTTCGTTTCCTATAACGACTGTCCATAAATTCCCTAGACTTTTGCAGACCGAAGCGTATATTGTCACTACAACCGCCCCATTGCCATCGGTCCGTCTCGACTGAGGATGGGGGGAGCGGAACTGGAGAAATCCTCCCGCGACGGGGTTTAGTAACGTCCTGAAAAAGATGAAAAAGATTGTTTCTCAATTATTAATTAGTTAGGAATTGCTCCCTGTAAAAACCGCTAGATAGTATAGTCAAATCATTTATACAGAAAATAAAATTTCATTTTAAATAAAAATATTCCACGCATCGTTGTTCCACTTGAGTTTAGAAATAAGCAGGATTTATAAATATTATATCGATATACATTCGAATAAATTACCTTTTCACATGAACATTCTAAAAGTGCTCCGGCAGTACAAGCTCGCGTTATTGCATATGTGACTCCAGCAGCAGTAATTGCATTCACAAAGCCAGTTTCCCGCGTATCTGTTAAAAACAAAAATTAAAAGTAAAAAGTTACGTAATGTTACATCCTAAAACTGGGCACGGGCTGCCTCTCATTCCTGAGAAGTTTTTAAGTATTGCAGCGCGGCGGACTTTTCCTAACCCTTACTGACATAATTAAAAATAGATAATAGGAAATTTTTAGAAGTCGCTATTTAATTACTGATATCGCATCGCACTTAAATAAAGACTTTTACATTCATTCCTCCCAAAGTAGAATGAATTAGTTTGTGTTTTTTAAGTGTTGCCACGCTTGACATGCGGTTTTTAAGTTGTTATGAAGAAGATACTGTTGCGCTGTTGGTTTTAGTTTCCATATGTCGCCTCGTAAGACACCAACGGGGCCACTAAACTATATTTCGCTTGTATAAAAATATATTCATCTAATTTATTTTATCATGTTAATATACTACTGAAAATTTTTTACTGCTTACCACTCATATAAATATATCTTTATAATATCTATATTACCACCGCTGCTCTGTTTTATGAAGGTGCAGGTAATAAGCATAATTCTACAATTTAATGCAGGTAAAATGGCAAGATTTCGCAAAAAAATTCTTTAATCGACTTTTACGACACCCAAATAAAGGAAAGTGAAGGGATGGGATGCGGAGAAAATTCTAATAATCACCGTAATCCGTCATAACACGGCTTTTGGTTTGAAAGACATTTATGAATGGAACCTATAACATAAATTACGAGTATTATTATACCTTTACCGTTACAGCCTACTAAAGTTCACTGCTGAACATAGACCTCTACCATAGATTGCTTCATAGGGGGGTGGGGGATATTTGCCATAGTTGCCACGCTAGGCATGCAGGTTGGCAACAGCACGTTTTTATTTTTAGTCGATATTGGTATGCTTTGTGGCATACCTTGGGGGAGGCCTATGTGCAGCAGTGAACTTTAGGACTTGTGAAGGGATATAATGGTGATGATGATGATGATTAGGAAAACTCTGCTACCCATCTCCTGATATGTATCCCTCTGTTACCTCTTACGACACTCGCGGGAAGATATGGCGTAGAGAATAGTCTTAAACCGCCACTACGCAGTAACTTATAACTTTAATAACATATAAACTTTATTTCATACGGAGTCTGACACAAAGGAAAATTTTTACCTATAAAGGCCACAGACTAATACAAAATTACTGATTTTTTTTCCGTTGTTTAGGAGGTACTGTATAGGGGAGGTCTATGTTCCGCAGTGGACTTTACGTGGACTTTTACGTGGTAGAGCCATGCTGCAGTTATATTAGTAGTATAGTTGTAGCACGAATGGGTCGGCTCGACCGGGGAAGAACCACGCTCTCACAGAATACCAGCGTCAAATAATAACTTAATGCTGCTGCGTTTAGTATGGTGAGTATAGAGAACCGGAGACCCTTTTTACTGGAAACGAGGCATTCCACCTAAGTCCTCGCGGATGACAATGCATCAGCATTTTGATTCGTAATCAAGGATAGATGTAGATGTCTATAGGCCACAGCAACCACTTAACATCAGGTGTACGGTGTGCTCGTTAGTCATCATATCCCATTAAAAAAAACTTTAATAACGGTGTAACAAATATATCATTCGAGAATACCGCTTCTGTGTATTGAATTAAATAATCCTGAAATGAAAATAAAACAACAAAATGAGAAATAATCTATGCGGGTAGACCAAAGTTCCACAGTGGTCTTTTATAGGTTGTAATGCAATAGTATTGGATAGAAGTGAAGTCATCGACAAATCGTAGTATTGAATACCTAGATCCTTTTTTTACTAACTCATATTATGTCACCATTTTATAAATCACTATGACATTTTGGAAACGAACTCAATTGCGAATGTACTTTAACCACATTTAAAATCACGACAAAATCTGTTGAAAACGGCAATTATATAAATTTTCATGTAGAATAATCAGTTCTCCGTTGTGCAAGAACTGCAAACAAGGCGCGCAGTAAGTAAACTTAAAGTGATATATTTTATAAGTTAGAAATCCCTTGATTTTATTTTCCTAGGCAAGCGTTTGTTATGTCACATGCACACATCATCACATAATAAATGTTTCGCTGTGGTCATTGGTACGCCTCAAAGCATAGAAATAAAATGCAAAAGACGGCACATAAAGCACCTACACAATGATACAAAGTGAAGCTGTTGACCCAAAAATCAATATTCACATGACTGTTGTAATAAACATCGATGAGCTTTACGAATCGAAGGTTTCATCCATAAAACATTTAAGCGTGAGACACGGCCGCCTGTTTCGTCGAACCTAGTTAATGAATATGGACAAGCAAACAAATGTTTCAAACTAAAATATTTTATAAAAAACACATGAGTTTTGTTCATACAACTACGTATTTACAAATCGCTTATTACATATGTCATTTTTTTTAGATTATTAAAATGTCGATATAGGGAGAATTGGATTACCTACTCGCACTACAATTATTTTAAATGATAATCATAAAAGGCAAACGTACAAGCAGATGTTGCATTTTATAACAGATAACGGTGAAACAACTACTCGTTTAAGATTATTATTTATTCTACATGTATTTAATATTTTAGCAATTTGTAATTCAACATAAATGTGCCTTGTTCTTCGCGTCAATGAAGTGAAATGAAAATGTTAGTTCACGGCACCTGGCTATAACAATTAATGGTGGGTCAACCGATGCTGGATGAATATTCAGACGGCATGAATAATGTGAAAATTGCTGCACCAGTCATCTACTGAATATGCGCCGGACATCAACTGAATGGGAGTCTGTTTTTGTTTAGGTCGATGACTTTATATTGATGGCTTTCAATTATATTGCCGGGGATTAGTTTCGTATAAACTTGATTTAGCTCATCGATTAGCGTGCTTTCTTTGCTTTGATTTACAACCGTTTGATTAGCTGCACGAAGTATTCCGGGTTCATTGTTATTACTTCCATTATATTGTAAGTTTATCATGTGTTTTAAATATTTTAAATCGTAGAAGAAAATATTTTTATCTGGAATCTTATCTAACATTATTTATTCGAAAATCTCCTTTTATTATCATACGTGGTATATCGTAGTAATTTTACTGACTTTAGTTTTAATTCGGTGTTTTATTTAAGTAACAACAGTCGCTTTGCGACAATTTATAAAGGAGACCGCTAACGAAAAGTGTGGAATTTGGTTTCAATTTCGAACTATCCAAATTACAGTGAGCTCCCACAAGATTGAGGTAGAAGATCGCATAAAAGTGATAATTTACGAAAGTAATTTTTGAAGCATTCATTTTCTCTTCAGTTACACGGATTTATTAATTTAGCTTACTTAACTGCTTCGTGACGTTTTTTGTTCAGCAGAGGACTTGTAAACTTTTTTGGACCATATTTAAATAATATTTTTACTTACAAATTAATATTTTAGTATATGTATGTTACATTTGTTGTGCAACTTTATAACCAGTAATTTATGGTACTGAATGTACATATGAGTTTTTGTGCTAATACTTTAATTTAATTTATGCAGTTAAGGACTTGCCGTTAATAACTGTTAAACTAGCATATTGGACACCGTCGTTCAAAAGAATTTGTATTCCGTCGAATATTTAAGAAAAGAAAAGAACGCAAAGTTACTGCCTCTATACATATACTAACGTCCGATAGCTGATCATAGGCCTCCTTTCATTTAAAAGGGATAAAGAGCAAGCCTTTTGGAAATGAGAGAAGATTTTTAATTAGCAGTGAGACTGTGCTGCAACTTAAAATTAGTTTTATAGAGTAATCAGACCGCCGCGTTTTAAGCGTAAGGGCGTATTCATGGACTTCAAATGTCCTCGTAATATTTTATTTCAAAGACTTCACGTCTTTCACGGTTTCCTTACGATATTTTCCTTTACCGCCGAGTACATATTAAATCAGTACTAGAAATTGTAACTAACAATTTCATTTGTTCCGGCGAGAATAGGACCCGAATTGTTCTTGTAGTATAAAATTCACAGTAAGCGGTTAGCCCCAGAGCTACCACGGAAATATTTTAAAACATCAAAATATATGAAATTTATCATTATTATTAGAGATATTTTGGTCTAAAAAGGTGGTAGAGCCACGTTGCAACTATATTATAGTTGTATCACGAATGTGTCGGTTCAACCGGGTAAGGATCACACTCTCACAGAATACCAGCGTAAAATAGCAGCTTAATGCTGCTGTGTTTCGTATGGTGAGTGTAGAGAACCGGAAAACCTTTTTAATGGAAAAGGGGCATTCTATCATAGTCCTCATGACTGACAATGCATCTTGGCCAGGATAGATGTAGATCTATGGGCCACGGCAGCCACTTACCATCAGATGGACTGTGTGCTTGCTTGTCACTATTATCCTATAAAAAAAATTATACTTTCAATATTACGGAGCTTACGGGACCTAATAACACCTGCCTACTAGGTTGCAAGCACTGGTTGACAGCATTTGTGTTAAGACAAGTATTGTATGTGCTTCCAGTCTGGTCGTGTTGTGTTTCTCACCGTGAGTTTGCGCTGACGTGATTTTCATAAAAAAAAAACATGTTTTAAACACTGTTTTCTGTCAATGTATCAAAAAGCGTTTGCATATTCAAAAAACATGTTGTAGTGAAGTATGTTTGACAGTTTATTGTACATTACAAATTTAACTATATTATATCATTATAACCACAGAAACAAAATGTTTGAGAACAAATTTGTAGAAATATTGTCATGTTGAAACATAAGTTTGAATATCTGTTGAGAATTTTACACAGGTTTGTGAGTGCGAACGCCACCATCAACAAAGCATGTTGTGTGATTTATTTTATGCGATTTGTTTCAAAACATTACGGGTTGGATGTTTCTCAGTGCAAACGTACTGTCAAAGTATTCCAACATATTAAACGTTAAAAACACAAAATACTGTACAGTAGTTTTGGATAGCGTAGTTATTATTTTTCTACAGCATTTGGAAGATATATTTGTAGTTGAAT